AAATAAATTAAACATATCCTTAAGTAACAGTTATAGTTTTGTAGAACACAGATTTTGGTGAAAGGAAAAGTGGAATTTGGTCGGGCATCATATCTGGGAAATATTGCTATTCTGTAAAGTGAGTTACATGGCAGAATAGCTGAAAATGAAACACTGGATACCTTGCATTCATTCATGGTCTTTCTTTAGGTTGAAATATTGAAACAAATGAAACACCATTATTTCAACGCCTGGGGTTCCTGAAAGTAACAATAGTGGCAGACAGAGTACAGTTCATGAAAATCACATCTGACCCACTAACTCACACTAAAGATAATAACGTCAAAACTCTAACAACTCTCTTTCCCTTCAAATTAACTTTTTCAAACTACATTTAAGAAACCATTCACCAAAATTACTAATTTTACATCATCTTTTCAATTCAACCACCTACAGATAACTTATCTTTTTATAAATCTTATGCACACTTTTAGCTACCCATTGATTTCCATCTAAAGGGCATTTCTACTCGGCATATATAAACTTCAAAAATTTCCAATCATTCACAATTACTAAGGCGTTAATTTTCTAGTCATAATACTAAACTTCATTTGATGACCTGTGAGATAAGTGAGTTTGTGGCATGCATAAGCAACAACATCTTAAAGCATCTATAATACACTACTTTTCATCCTTAAGTTAATTCTTCTTGAAAACCAAAGTTAAATGAAATAACAATAGCATCAACTATTCTCCTTGACTAATTTATTTAATCTCAATGATTTTAACTAAATCAACGTGAAAACAAAATTTAACCGTGAAAACATGTTCCATTGATACGAATATGATAGACAAAGTAAATAATCTTCCCCTAGATGAGAAGTAATTTGATGGTGGTCCTGGCCACCTTTCTTGAGATATATTTAAACGTTGACGAATAACTAAAAATGTGCATTTTGAGGGTGAAACTCACAGCTATAGCAGGTTCTGGGGCCATCTTTCTTTAACTTGCATCCATCAACAGGGGACTAGTTAAGGAATGTTCTAAAAATGAAAACTCACGAAGCATCAATTCGATCCATCAAATAAACTTTAGAGGCTGGATTGGACAAAATAATGCATATGTGAGTGTGTTTACACATGCATGTATATTATTATTATTATACATTATAGAAAAGAATATATTATTATCATAAATAGATGAAGCGCATAGATATAGTGTATAACAGCACAATTGATTGCGCGCATATTCCATAATCGTAGGGGGTGGAAAAGTGTTAATTAATTAATTAATTCCTTGTTTAATGTTTGGAATCACGAGTGAGGAAATCTAAAACTAGATTTGTGGGACAAGACATTATGTTTAATGAAATTCAAATGATATGGTGTGGTTTGTCTTTTTCCGGCATCAGGTACTTGAATTGATGCTTTTCCCTGCGAAGGAATGGTTTCAAGCAAAGAGGGGAAAATAGTGCAGCCTTATTCGCGAGGATGCCCAAAGCTGTTCATCTTTTTGTGTTTAGCCTCAAAATTGTAGGGCACTGCATGTTTTCCCACATCGGATAGACAAAACCTACTACCGACAATAAACATGATATCTTGTACTAAAAATGTAGGTTATTCGATACTTGTCCATGTAAAAACTTTGTTTATAGATGATTTGTCAGTATTAGTTTTAAACGTTTTCGTCAAAAATTTTAGGGGGGAAAAAAGAGAAAAAGAAAGAGAAGACTTTTGGCAGTTCCGGTGACTGTGTGAGCCTTAGAAAATGGGTGTAGCCCTGAGAAAAGGCATCATTGCTAAAGAGGAAGTGAAAGTTTTGTTCATTGGCATGGGCCCTTAAATGAAATGTCAAAGGTCACGGCATCAAATCTAACACAAGGCCTGCCCCTAACAAATCTCCCAAAATCCGATGCCTAATCATTTGAGTTTTATTTAAATTTTCATAAAGTCTTCCAAGTTTATTATGTAAAAAAGTGCACCCCTTTCGTGAAAGTAGCCCCCTCCCCCATGGTTTCCATGATGCATGTGCCTCCCCTTTACAATAAAGGATTCAAATAATATTTGAATGTCGTCCATTTTCATATATCTCCCTCTCTCTCATGTCTCATCATTCAATTTTAAACCCAAAGGTGAAATGAAAAAAGATCATGATATATCAATCAATGAAATCAAAAAGATTACTAACTTTTCCATGGATAATATCCCCCGCCTTTTCATGCAAAGAGACAACTCACTTTAACTTCACAAACTATAACCACTCCAGCTTAGGGGAGTTTGAAGCACAACACTTTTCCTTTTTTTTTTTCAACCCTTCTCATGCTTCACAATTTTTCATAATTCAACAACATTAACTTATGAGTGGCTACAATGTGTTAACAGACTAAGGGCTTCTTTTGTCACAATTATGTCAGACAAAAAGATGAAATTCTTAGCCCATTTAAATGCACTATAAAGAGTGGGGTTTTACTTTAAAGTTTATCTTTGAGGTCTGTATTCAAGAGTGTATATCGATCAACTCTTAAATTTTGACGTGTCAGTATCACAATGTGCTTTGAATTAAATTAAAGAGACATATATATTTTTACTTGTTCGCTTCTACTCTATTCTCTGTTGCTTGGTTGCAGTATTGTAACAAAATTATAAAATCGATCAACTTCATCATTTTATAAAGAAAAAGTTACGATAATTAATAATCGTTCTACCTTTTTAAGGAAAAACAAAAATTCAAATCAACCCAAAGTCGTGTATTAGGTAAAATTAAGTGAGATTTAATTAAGACTTTGAAGGTGAATAATATATACCCCTCTAGCACATAGAATGGACGTACCTGCATCAATGTTAATTACTGCGACGTCGCTTTCACTTCCCCCATCCTTGCTGATATTTTGGCAATTCTTTTTGTTTTTGTTTTAATGAAATGATGTGAACAATGAATTTCTAAATACCATTGTGAATGATTACCCTCTTTGATAATTTGAAATTTTCCCATGTTTTCAGCCGAAAAATGGTGATTGACTTTTGATTTTTCCACGGATTCTATAAGCAAATTTGTATTAAAAAAAAATACATGGATTGTGGAACTCAATTATATTCTAACTCAAGAGATTAATTAATTAAGGTCCTAGTGATGAAGTCCAACCAACTAATAAACCACGCCTTCAAAGTCTCATTCCCATTGAGTGGTTTCTTTCTTTCTACCTACAACAAGTACTTTTAAATATAAACCATATTATAGGGGTTCCTTGCAGATCCCACATGCATTAAATCCATCAAGATAAAAAGTCTTATTCATGAGTGTAATAGAACATGCACGCGTACCACTTTTCTTTTCTCTTTCCTTCTTCAGACTAATAAGCGTATGGTGCGAATTTGAAAACAGACAAAAAGTGATGGAGAGCTAAATCAATGGGCGCTTTTTTCATTATCATTTTCTCACCCAATAACCTTTTCGTTTTAGTATATTCATAATTTTTTCATTTCTTCATCTCCCCACATTTTTGGCACATAACATTTTCTCAATCTAGTATAATTCATCGTATCCCCACACATGCATCAAATATTCCTCAAATTCTATTATAAAAATAATAAATATTAAAACAAGCTTCTTTGGTGAATCGACAAGGTTGATTTTTTATATTGTTTGAAGTCACTGATTAATACTTACCAGATAATTCCACTATTGGCGTTACCATTAACGCAATAGTTTAAAAATTAAGAAATAAGAAATTTTTGATAACATTATGAATGTTATGATAAAGAAGATCAGTTCTAGTTCCTTATACATGGTCCTAATCCAAATATAAATTACTTCTTATATAATACTGATCACATGACAGGTTTTTATAATTTGTTTACATACTTTACTTTATCTTTTAAGTATATAACAAAAAGCAACACAGATTAAATTTTGATGATTTATGGCTTAAACTTTTAATAAAACAAAAGCCAAAGCCCGTGATTAATTATCAAACAGATTCAATTCTCATGAATACAAAGAATTGTTTAGTATAACATTTAAAAAGCAGCAAAAGTAGTGAATAATTTTTTCTTTTGAAAAAAAAATATTATTGAACGTGTGAATGCATTCGCCAGATAGAAACTGTGAAACACGTTACATTCGATAATATACCTGTATGACAATGTACTTTCGTTTTGTTTAGTTTAGGTTTTTTGAAAGTTGTCAAACTTATACTTTTGTTTTGTAAAAGTGCTTGGCGAAACTATTTTTATGTTCACAATGTCGAAATGTTTCAAAAACACATGAGCATATCTTTGATTTTGATAAAACGAGATTGCGGCGACTTACAATCCCCCAAATCTAGCCACAAATTACTCCTAGAATCTACAATTTGTAATGACCGTCAAACTAAAAATTGGAAAAAAGAATAAAGGGTAGAAGAACAGAAGAAGAGTTTAAGGAAGCAGACAAAATGGCAAACAAACATTAGAGGTAAAATCAGAATAGAAGGTGCGACAAAAACAGGAAAAAAAGAGGATACATACAGTTTTGTCTGTGTTGTTCAATCTATGCTGCACATTGTACATTCTCTGAACGATAATTTCACACAAGTCAAAACCAAAATCCATATACAGTGACATGAACACAAACTGATGCTGCCATTTGTAGTTCACCAAAGAGAGACACAAATTATGAAACAAACGTCCAAACGATCGAAACCTCTCCAGGATTCTTTCGTGTGTGTATATATATATATATGGGTGTGTATATATATTAATCAGAACCACAATTGATATTTTTTGAGGATAACAAATACAAAAGAAAAAAAGTAGAGAAAGACAAGGTTGCGCTACTTATTTACGCATAATTCTTCTAATGGAACCAAAAAAAAGTGTTTAATTAATTTGATGGTCATGGTTAAGCTGATGAGGATACCAATTAACAATATTCTGTCTCTCGCCTCTCATGCATTAAAGCCTATGAAATTATATTTATGAATCTATCTCATCCCTTTTTACTTTGTTCGTATTCTTTTCCCATTTGATGGTTGGTTCCTGCTCTAATCTGAAGAACAATTAATCCACGATTCGACCATACCTTCGCTTCTTGCAGCCACAGCACATTCCGGTGCTCCCTTCTCTCCATGAAAATCCGAAACACTGCTTCTGTAGTTTAAGGTGCCAGTGCCTGTGCCTCCACTCAGAGACCTCAAAACCCCTCCATCATTGGTGCCGCCAATTCTTTGGGCCTGGGCCCAGTCTGCTGAAGAAGGACCACGCATGTTGTTGTTTATGTTTAGGTTGCTGTTGACCCTCGACAATGCTCCATCCGATGAAGACGAAACCAAGTTCATGTTTTGATGATGATGATGATGATGATGATGACCACCAACGTGCGCATGGCTCAATCCCAGTTCTTCCAAACCACCCATCTTGAGGTGCGAGTCCACAGCACCGGGCGTGATTTCCAAGGAGTGCTGCTGTTGTGTTTTAGAACCAACAAGGACAGAAGAATTGTTGTTCCCGAGAATGGATTGGAGGCTGAGAATTGGGTTGTGCATGTTTAGAGGGTGCTGCTGATAGTGAATGGAGGTCGAATTGGAACCTGAATTGTTGTTAGAAGCCAAGGTGTTCAACATGGGGGGAAAAGTGTTGTGTGGGACTGAAGAGGGTTGAGCTTGGACTTTGTGTGCAAAGGGGCGAAGAAGATAAGAGGGTGTTTGTGTTTGCGACGGAGGTTGTTCTAAATGAGCGGAAGCGGATCTTAATAACGCTGAGGAAGATGCATTAGAAGAAGCAAAGAGATCCAACCTGGTTCTCGGGAAGGGTGAGGAAGTGAAAGGAGGTGCTGGGATGCCAGTGAATTCCTGAACCATGGCTCGGAAATTTGTGGTATCCGTAGTGAGCACAGTGGTAGGTGCACGCCTAGAAGCTCTCGACCTCTTCTTCGGGTTTCGAACCACGTTGGTGTTGGTGCTGGTACTGTTTTGTTCAAATCCTCCTCGTGGAGAAGCACTTTCCGGAGCGAGAGTGGTGGGAAAAGCAGAAACAGCTACGTTAGCAAGTCCTCCTCCGCGTGTTTGACTTTGACCTGCACCCAGTTGAGTTAACAGGAAACCTTGGTTGTTGCTGTTTTGTGGGGAAGGTGAAGAGGAACAAGGTATCAAACCACCGAGATCGGGTTCGGATCTGGCAACCGTGTTCCACACCATGTCGAGGTTAAGGATTTGGTTTGTGTTGGGGTGTGACTGCGATCTTTGTGTCGGATCCAAGTAATTGGATAAGGGGTCGAACACGTGGGTTTGGAAGGGAGTAACGTGGGTTGTTGTTAACGTCGTTGGTTGGGGCGGAGGAACGGGGTTGTTGTTGAGGAAGGCAGAGATTGATGATGATGAAGGGTCGGCGCGTGAATCGTAATCTTCTTCACCGGCGGTGCTGGAGGACTGCATACTGCCACTGTTGGGCGAATCCATGAGAGCCGAAAATGGAAAGACGTAAGGGTGAGAGCAGAGAGATTTGGTTTATTGGTTATTACTGAGTGGGAGAATGAGGTATGGGTATGGGAGAAGAGAGAAACATTAAAGAGGGTGTTTGTGGTTATGTGGGAGAAAAAGATATATAGATAGAGTGTACCAACAACACCCACGTCTTGGAGCCTCTGATCTGCAAAACCCGTACAGTGTGTGTGGGTGTGATCTCTTCTTGCCTTACTTTTACTTAATTTGTCTTTCACCAATAGGGTGGAATGGAGGATACACGTAAACAAGGGTGTATTTAATACTACTTCCAGTTTGCAGAGAGAAGCTGTGGGTTGGTTTCTCTGTTTGGGTTGTGACTTTGGATTGCTTCAGACTGAGAAAAAGAGAGAAGGAGAGGGAACATGTATTAGGGTTTCACAAGTGAAATAGAAAAGGAAAATCGAAGAGAGAGAGAGAGAGTGTGTGTGAGTGTTTGTGTGTGAAAGGGAGGGGCCGGGGGAAGAAGAAAGGGATGGTTCTCTAGCCTTTTCTTTCTCTTAAAAAAGAGGCTGCTTTGGCTTCTGCTTTCATCTCCAAAAAAAAATATCAGAGTGGGGCAGACATGGGAGCTAGCTAGGGTGATGCCAGGCTCCAATGGTCAAAATATGCCAGAGTTGTGGTTCTGATTTTCCGCCCTGAAATTAAGAAAATAAAAGATATATGGAGCTCAGGGAGAAGATGTTAATTGCATAATTATACTATTAATCAATGCATGCTGCATTAAAATAACAATTCAGAAAATTTTATTCTTTTACTGTACACGTAAAAAAGAGATAAAATTCACTTCATTCATTTTTACATCTCTGGAGATTAATTTCATGAGTTTCAATATTTGCTTTTAGAGGAAAAAATAATAATGAGGTGGGGAAGCAATCAAAATAGAGTGATGGTTGTTGAATTGCATAATGAAAGAAAAGAGAATCGCCATGTTTAGCTTTCCTATACGCATCAAGAAAGGAATACAACAAATACGTGCGTATATAATATCTAGATTTATGCACATAAAGAGAAATGATTGTTTAGACGGTAAACCCATCATAAACTACCATCTCTCTCTCTCACTCTCTCTCTCCTGTATATATCCCAATCAAGACTCATATTCATAGCAAAAAAAAAAAAGTATCATCTTATTACATGTCGTTTAGATTTGACCCGGACGTTGGTAATTTATTTATACAAAACTAGGTAGCATGGAAAATAAAATATATATGCATAAAAAAATAAAAGGTGAAGGAATCTTTCACAGTCTTCCTCTGCTAAAAGATGCAGAAGGAAAATCATGATATTTATCATGTAAGGCTATATATTCTGCTTTTCGATGATTGCTTTTCTGTAACATCTTTCTTGTTCTTATTATTCTTCTATCTTCAACAGCTGAATCAGTTGAACAACATAACAGACAAGTTCGCTCCAACAATCCAAACTAAATAGCGATGGAGGTGTTTTTATTATTATTTGCAAGTCCCACCCCACCATTCAATAATAAATTAAATTTAATAATTTTGTAAATAATCAACTTGGTTTGATTGAAGAATATATAGCGGTCGTTGTCATTTGTACGTGTAATATTTATATACCTTCTCCTTTTTGATATACCTATGGTCTGTATTTGCCCCCTAGCTATATATATAATATAATCAAATCCATACCAAACCATCTACACCCTTTCTCTCACGTCTTCTACCTCTACACGTAATATATCTATGTAATAATATATTTCACTAACCAAATTTGTTTTAACTCTTTTCGCGCTAATATGACTCATTCACTTCATTTTCAACTTGGTTTCCAACTTGGAATCTCATTTTAGCTTTGTCATATGAATGGAATTTAATTGCAAATTACAAAAGCTTGGAGAGAGAGAGAGAGGGTGTTGTGATTTCCTCAGATATGTTACACCAATATTTATAACCTTTCACTATACTTTTAATTAAAAATTAAGAATTTTTTGCTCTAACAAGGACAAGCTTTTCAGAGTCCTTTAACCTGAACAACATGGGCCCTCGGGATATCATTTTGTGAATTCGAAATTTGTTTTTGATTAAAGATTTCTTGTGGTGACATTTATTTGAAGTTCTTCTTTATTGAATGCCACAAACACGCATTTAAAGTAAATGAAGATAGAAGAAGATTCTATCACTGCGATCAGTGAAAGCGTGGTCAAAAATGAAGAACACCACAAGAATGAGGACCGAGATTGCAGCCATAGAAGCAACGTGCCAAGACTCCACCAGTTTTTTTTTTTTTTTTTTCATTTTCCACACATGCATGGATAACATGAAACATTATTATATATAATAACTTCCTTGTTATATACTCCTATAACGTAATGTAATGTAAAAATGTAATTATATATATATATGATAGGTTTGTCTAAGGTTTTATTTAATTTTTTCATAAATAAGTTAGGCGAAATTGAAGGCTTGACAAGCCGGCTTTGACCTAATTCGTCTCGTGAGAGTTGTTTATTTTTAGTTTTTTCACGTATATATATAATTAAGGTCTAAGGTATTGTTGCGGAGTGATGATTAATTAATTAATTAATTAACAGAAATTTGATTAGAGGAAGAAGGCATTGAAAAAATTGGGCAAGTTATGAAGCAGCATGTAGAGGACAGTAATTAAAGATGAAAATACCTTTTTAGATTAAAATCAAATAGTGAAGTGAAAGAATGGTTTTGTAGAAAAGATGAAAAATGATAGATAGAAAGAAATGAGAAGTGTTGACGAATATTCATGTGGGGAAAAGACAGAATAAACGAAGTTCTTGAAAGTTAATTGGAATACGCAGTGGTGCGTACATAGACGCATGTTGGAGACGGTATGTACTTACTATATTTGTCGATTCCTTTGAAATGTAGAAATACACACGCAGACGTGGCCCTGGACTAAGACGAGGAAAAGTATTGTTTAAGTTACTTGAAGATGTAAAATTACTTTACTTTGTATAATTATCTCCACCTAATAAGTGGTAAATCAGAGAAAGATTGAGAAATGATGATGGGACCCTACTCTAATGCCCATTATTCTAATTAATTCATGCTTCCAATCCTCCAAATACCCTTTTTTTCTACACTCCATCTTCACCGTTTTATTTTTTATCAACGGTATAATAATAATAATAATAATAATAATAATAATAATAATAATAATAATTTTTGTTGTTGATATTCTGATTGAGAAAAGACAATAAATTGATATGAAATTTTGTTGGATTGTTGCGCCTCATGCTCGTACAATTTGTCCCTTAATATTGTCGTGTTATAGATAGAAAACAGTTTAAAAAATGAGTAAATTGTCTTCAAAATAAATACAAACATGAAATAAATATTGCATAATCTTGATTACATGAATAATAAAACTCTTTATTCTTAAATAAGAGTAATTTCAACTATTTGTTTTGAAAGTTACGGAAATAATTTTGTTTCATACATATAACAAAGTAATTAAATTATAAATATATGTTTAACAAATTCAATTATGCTAATTAAACTTTAGTGGCATCTCTTATTAAATTATAATACAAAGATTGAAGTGAAGAACAAAATTAGTCAATCTGCTCGTATCATAAGACGCTAATGCAAATAAATGGTGTATATTTGAGAGAGGTTACGAGGAAACATATACAACAACGTCTCCCTTCAAAGTTATTTATTGTTAAGTAAAAATATGAGTTATTTGAAATAAAATTTCATCCCAAAAATATATACAGGAGAGTTATATAAGTGTCTCGGAAAGAGTGAGTAATATTATACCTTACATGTTAGAAGTTACTAGTGAAAAGTAGAAGTCACTTGTGGAAATAAACAATAGTTTAGGTTCAACTTCAAACATGACATGGATGAGTTTTGTCTCTCTTTATTTTATTTTTTTAATTATTTTTGTTTCAATTAGAAGCTAAGTTTTCATTTTTATATTTAGTGAGTTTTCTTTGTCTCTCATTCATTTCCACCATATATTTTAAAAAATATATATTTATTAATAAAATATTTTTTTATATTTTTTACATGAATAAATATTTATAATTTTATAATTTTTAATTATTATTATTAATTAATTATATACTTTAATTATTATATTTACATTTATGTAAAAAAACATATAATATTTTTTTAATATAGAATATTTTTAATATTATTATTATAATATTGTATTATTAATTATTTTATTAAGATAAAAATTAATATGGGACAAATGGAAATAATAAAATAAAAATTATATAAAATAAAAATTATATAAAATAAAATTTAATAAATATAAATTATTAATAAAATAATATTAATTATTATTAAGATTGATGTAGAATATTTAAAAAAAAAGAAGAAAAAAGTTAACTTTATATTTATTAAATTGGTTTAAAAAATTAGAAAAACTAAATTAATTGATCAGATTAAAAAAAGGTGAAAAGGTAAAAAATGTAAGAAAAAAAGAATAATATAATAAATAGATTGATATAAGAGATTAAAAAAAATAAAAGATTAAAAAGTAAATAAAAGAAAAAGAAAAATAATAAAATATAAAAAATACTTTATATATATATGATATAAAAAAATACTTAAAAAATTAATATTTTAAAATAAATATTACATTAGTCGTGCCTCCAAACAATCCGTAGAACTCAGATAAAAATAAATGGATTCATAGATTTTAATTGTCATCTTATTTGTTGTGTCAAGAGTGAGTAAGGTGAAATCTCAACTGATAGGAGAAAGAAGGTGAAATCCATAGGAATCAACCACAACTACCTTCTAATATTTATACTCTTGAATAACCAATAATGGAGGAGAAGAAATGGCCAAAAGCATCCACTAAGGAAGAATATGAATCCGTACACTCTCATGCTGTAAGAGAAGCCTGAGTTCAGAAGCATTTTGAATAGTGAGTTGGAGACCAGTAGGAATTTTATATGTTATGATATAGTGTCAGATCTTCTTGGGAGTTGAAAGGGGTCATGATCCTCCAAAGTTTTATAACTCTCATGTAATTTATGATTTTGGTCCCCCCAAACATAATGAGCATTTAATATATTTACAATTTTATCCTCTCAGCCCCTCCTCAATTTTGTAACTCTCATATAATTTATGATTTTGTTTCCCTCAAACTTAATTATCATTTAATATATTTAAGTATATATCTACACTTTTATCTTTTCAATCTTTCATATTCTTTTTTCTTTTTATTATTTATTAATAATATATTATTTGGCCCCCAAGATCAATGGTCAAGATCACCACTGTTCCGATACATTGCTTAAAAAATTCTTATTAAAAAATAAATATAATAGAATAAATAAAGAGAGAATATTTTTTTTATTTTATAAAAAATTATTAGAATAAAATTAGTAATAAGTTATTTTTTACGTAATTAATATATTTTTTATATTTTTCAATATAAAAACCACTCATACAAAGAAGAATAAACATCCTTGATTTTTTTATACAGGATGTTTGTATCCTATTGAGCTAAAGTGAAAAAAAAAACTTTTCGAATTCATACAGCATTAATACATAATTATTATTGTTTTTATAAAATCACATAATGCAAGATATCAATATTTGTACTTGGATAATAAAAGTATATCTATAGAAAATAATAAATAATAAAAGGCTAGAGTAACCTTTATATTCATTGATTAATACCACGATGGAACACACGTTTTAATGGTTTGAAATTATTTTATAGTTATGAAAGAGGCTTTATATATTAACTCGTAAAAAATTGTTTAGTAAGTTAATTGAATTTGTGATAAAATATATTTTTCATTCGTAAACTTGTATTGTTAATACAATTATAAAAAAACTAACCGATATTCATATAATAACTATAATTATGTTCAATTTTTAGTCACATCTATTCATTTTAGTCAGTTAAAAAATGTAATTTTCGTGTTAATTTATTATATAATTAATTTTATTGGTTTTCGAGTTTTGTACCATTAAATAAATTGTCTGATTTTTAATAAATGATTATAATTATATTTGAATTTTATTCACATCTGATTATCAATTCAATGTTTGATTGGACATGGTCACTTGCAAATAAGTAATTTGAAATTTTATTTTCGTAGTTTTAATTCCATTAATTTTTGAGAGATCTTTTTATCCCAAATAATTAATATGTTATTATAATGACATAATTATACGTACCAACGTAAATAATATAGTTTACAGTTTACAAAGGTTGTTTTAGAAATTTTACATACATTTTTCAACTTAAATAAATCCAATAGATGTAGAAAGGTAGAATTTTTATATTTTATTCATTATGATTAATTGAATACTATATTTGATAAGTCATCCATTATATAATAAATTATGATATTGCACAATTGGTTCAAGTTAAATATTACTCACCGACATCTCCAACTACATTAATGGTATTTCGCAGAAGATATTTGTGTCATAAGCTAATATTTCGTTTTTGGAATAAAAATTTCTATGTTTATGTTAATATGGTATTGTTTATTTTAAAATTTTATTTTATAATAATTTCATTTTTAAAAATTGAATTAAGAGAGAAAAGTATATATAAATAATTTATAATTTTAAAATTTAAAGATAAAACTCATGAAAATACAGGTAATAAAAATGATTATGCCATAAAGTATGTTTTATGTTATATATATTTAATTTATTTTTTCAAAGAACTAAAACTTTACAACTATTTTATATCATAAAAAAATTATAAATAATTAGTTCCTTTATTTAATTTGTGGTTATAATGTTGGACTGGTCTAGCGAGAAAAGTGTGAAATTCAATTGGCTTTCTATTTCATTTGTGTTGTTATTTTCTAAATAAAGTATTGCCATTTCCAAAATTGTAGAGATCCTCGTTACGCTTATGACCGGGTTTGTTGCTTTTCTTTTATCTATCAAACAGATAACCAATAAAACAATTTAGAAAATAAAAATAAAAAATAGAAAGTTTAAAAAGTAAAATAAAAATCTTTTGATTCCAACGTTATGTTTTAATAAAGCACTTAACTTACTAATTGTTATATTTTTTCTCTTTTTTTTATATTTTTTCAAATTTATTTGTCGAATTTTAAAGAAGGACCACAGCAAAATTTTATTCTAGGGAGTCTCTCCCGGAGGGACATGTTATATTATCTGCTGGAATAAATTATGATAGTTAAACAATTCAACTTATCTATATTTTGTATTTAAAATTAAGTTTGTTCATAATGTGATATTTTATTTGGTTAAAATTTATAAGATATATATTTATATCAGAAAGAAATTCTCTTTGAAATGGCTTAGGAAGAAGACGATCATTCACAATCAAAATAAAATTATTTGTTACATATAACAATACAATATAGAAAAGGAAAAAAAAATGAAAAACGATTCACCTGAGAGGAAACCTGGTTGTGCTTTGATGTCATCAATATTTGGGCGACGTAGTTCATCACAGAAAACAAATTCTGCAGGTTCTTCTCTAGTGAACAACAATTTTGGAAATTCGCCAAATGATAAAGATTCAAAATGGGAATGTGTTGATTCTGACGATGCTGTTTCAATTAGAAAAGCTTCAAATAATGATGTTACAAACTCCTCATCTCATTCCATATCCAATCCTCGTAAGTCAACAAATGTTGTTAGCCAAGGAAAAGCACAAAATCCAAACGAAACAAAAATAAGAAAAAGCCTCTCACCCACTCAGGGTTATGTAAATAAAGGGAAAAGGAATCCAAAAGAAGATTTTAGCATCTCTGGTGAACTTGAAAGCATGATCAATGATCAACTAATGTTCAAGGGTTCCAACAATGTAAGCATGTATGGTACTTTGGGTAACCTTAGAGGAGGGGGAGCTGGATTGGATCATAATCATTATAATGAAATGAATTACTATGCCGGTAATGTTTCTAATGGAGGACGCACGGATAGACCCATAGGACGTGAATATGGTAATAGTAATTACAACAAAGAAACTAAACCAAGGAAGGAACAATCAAATTTACCTTGTAGGACTTTGTCTACGAGAATGGTGGATCCTGAGCAATTGAAGATAATGGGCAATGAAGATTACAAAAATGGAAGGTTTTGTGAAGCCTTAGCTCTGTATGATGCTGCCATCGAAATTGACCCCCAAAAGGCCTTTTACAGGAGTAATAAAAGTGCTGCATTAACTGCTCTTGGAAGGCTTTTAGAGGCTGTTTTTGAATGTAGGGAAGCCATTCGAATTGATTCTCATTACCAAAGAGCACATAATCGATTGGGAAAATTGCACTTTAGGTAGGTTTGCATGTTTCACTTGCATATTTGTGGAATGTGTGTAGTGTAACTTTCATATTTTTCTCACATGATATTCATTTATTATTATTATTATTATTATTATAAGGTGGGTTACTTTTCATGCGTTTTCCTGTAGATTAGGAGAAACAGATAAGGCTTTGTATCATTACAGACAAGCCGGACCAGAAGCTGATCCAGATGAGATTGCTAAAGTAAAGATTCTCCAAGTACATCTAAACAAATGTACTGAGGCTCGTAGGTTGGGTGATTGGAACACACTCATAAAAGAAACCAACACTGTTCTATCATCTGGTGCAGATTCTGCTCCACAAGTGAGTTTTTATTTTTATATCATCCCAACCAATGCATTAGAGTTTTTCCTTTTTGATCTTAATCACCCATGTACTCGTTTCAATCATGTTAATATGGTTTGTGTTTCGTCCTGAAGATATATGCATTACAAGCCGAATCGCAGCTAAAGCTTCTTAAACATGAAGATGCAGACAAAGTAATGTCGAAATGCCCAAAATTTGATGTGGATGATTGTACCAAGTTCTTTGGACCAATTGGTAATGCAAACTTATTGGTGACATGGGCTCAAGTTGATTTAGTTAATGGCAGGTTAGCATTTTGTGTGAAATCGTAATATATAAAACTTCACGACCATTAACAAGTTGCAGACTTGAACGTGTAATATTTTGTATGCACTCATTATTTGTAGATTTGAAAATGCTTTGGAGGCAGCACAAAAAGCAATGAAGCTAGATCCAAATAGTGGGGAGGCAAATAAGGTGTTAAGAAATGTTCGAGGTGTGATAAGTGCTCGTACAAAAGGAAACGAACTTTTCAAGGCATCAAAATTTAACGAGGCTTGCATTGTCTATGAAGAAGGCATCGAACATGACCCATATAACTCTATTTTACTATGCAATAGAGCTGCTTGTAGATCAAAATTGGGTCAGTTTGATAAAGCCATTGATGATTGCATCCTTGCCCTTAACTTACGCCCATCTTACACTAAGGCTAGGTTGAGAAGGGCATTTTGTAATGCTAAGGTGAGTCATCATCTAGTCTATTTTTATTCACCTTTATTGCAACATATAACAACTCTTCATATATAATATTCAAGATTTTGGTGAGAAAATATTTCAAAACATGTGTTTTTAGTTTTAATTAGCTTTCTAGAAGCATGACTGAAGGATATTTATTTTAAAATGGTAGTTGGAAAGATGGGAAGCTGCAATACAAGACTACAAAATCTTGTTAAAAGAGACACCAGAAGATGAAGAAGTAAAACGAGCATTGCTGGAAGCCCAGGCACAGCTTAAGCAACAAAGGTCATGAAAGAACTTAGTATATGAAAAATTATAAATGTGATCTGTAGTTAGTGGGTGAATTAGATATGTAGAAGACAAAAACCTAATTAATGTTCTTTATGTTCTTTAGCAAAGACCAGTGAACCAAATATTAGGATTACATAATTACATCACGTTGAACGTAAAATTATTTTTTGAAAGAAAATAAAAAATCACTTTAAAACTTTTCACGAAAGAAAATCATATCTATGTAAGGTTAAAGGAAAATGACCAAGTTAATGCTTAGAAAAACTAAAATTGTCCCTTTTGCTTTTGCTTTTTTAATTTCTTTATTGTTTTGAAAATTTTCACAACACTTATATTTAAAGAATTTTAAATACACACTATAGTACATATTAATTTCATATTTTTAATTTTATTTTACTGTTTTTTTTCTTTGGCGTAAAATTCATTATTTACATCGAATCCAAATTGGATTATTACTATATTTATGAACTAAGAAGTTTAATGAGAAGAAACTTTACACTAGAAATTTCAGTATTGACAAAAAAATAAAATTAAGTGTGTTTTCGTATTGAAACAAAAATACTTCTGCTGAAAGATAAATATAATATATAGTAAAAGAAGTATCTTATTTTGAAGGTTATTGTATTGTTTGTAAGTATATACTTTTCTATTGCATAACTTTGCTGAGAATACAAAACGTAATTTAGTTTTATTTGTACACGATAAATATGATATAAAAAAATATTTATAATATGTTGAATCCTCTTTCTCTTTTGAAAAACATTTTTGTTCTTAACATCTTAGCCCTAGAGCAGTATAAACCTTGTATGTTTTTTTCTCTAAATTCCTAATATACACAGTTTTCTAAAAAAATATTAACAATTTCGCATTTTTATGGATATAAAGTTATGTACACAATTCTTTTAAGAGATTGGATTTTTCCAACATTGCTATGTTGTGTGACAATTTCAGCTTGTACAAACTTCTTTCTTAATTTGAAATAAAAAAGAGTAAAATGATGTTATAGAAATGTTTGTAAAAGTAATGGATAAGTTAGTTAAAAGTTAATTAAGTGAAATGTTGATTTTAATTAAGATTTGTTTAGGAAATGTGTTAAATTAGCTACTGAACTGGTTAATAAAAATTAAAAAAATAATAATTGTTTATATATATATATATATATATCAGATTCATTAATTTGGAATTTTTTGTCAAACCTACTAATCTGAAATATTTCAAAACATATTTTTATATTATCAATTTCTTAATATTGTCAATCTACAATAGTTACAATAAATATAATATAGAAAATAAAAAGTTTGAGGTGCGGGAAACAACACAGGCTCTACATATTTAAGACCTATGTACTTCCCCTGGCCCTTTTCTTCAGTAATTTTATTGAAACCCATTTTACATATCCGGCCCACACTGAAGAGGGAGGTGAAGTTTGGGCTTCAGGTTCAAGGGCTACCGTTGCTGTAAACCCATGATATGTGTAAAATGTTAAAAATATTCTTCAGGCCAATTTTCCTCATCTACACTACACCTCGTCCACCTTTATTAAAACATCATTTTCACTTTAATATTGAAAATTTGTCACTAATTTATACTTTTGAATAGTATAATACATTTTACATTAAAAAATTTCATAAAAATATATATTTAAAATATATTTATAAAAAAATACAATCTAAAAATAATTTTTATAAGTTAATCGGAAATGGATTTTCGGATTATGTTTTCTAAAATTATATTTTAAATTCACCAATGTGATACTTCGGATTGATATCGTAGAAAACACAATTTAAAATTCATTTCTAAACTCTAAACTCACTTCAAATGTTTTCTAAAAATATATTGAAGAAATTGTATGTACAAAAAAAATAATCTAAAAATATGTAACATAATTCAAAGCTTATTTCCTTCTAGTATTTTCCAAAAATGTATTTTCAAAAAATTTTAGAATTTTTTTGAAAGTTTTTCCTATTTATATTAAGGTTCAAGGGCTGCACCAGCTTCTTTGGCAGTTGTCTAAACACGTATTTGGACCCGCTTCTAGTATCTTCTTATACTTTCATTTTTCCTATTCATACTTTACTTTAATTTGTCAATTATCAAATTAAATATTCATTCAAAGTCTCATGTCAATATTTCTGTTATAAATCTATACAAATAATGACACATAAATATTTATTAATTTTCAAAAGAGAAGTGAAATAAAACCATAATATATAAAATTACAGATACAACAATAAATTTTTTTACCAAAAGTGTAATTAATTATTTTAACCATTTTTTTGTTGTTGTTGAGAGTTTGGTGGAGTTGGTCTATGAAGTTGTCATATTCTCAAACATAACCTCATAACAAAAAAAGTCCAAGCAAATCCTCTTTTATTCAATATAGAAAACAATACAAATACAAACGCATACTTTCTCAGTAATGCCACAACAAGGTTAAGGATAAGGCAAAGCAAACCTTAACAAAAGACATGTGTTTCCCAACAACACTACCGACACAAAAGAGTCACAACCAACCCCAACTACCACGTAATAAATACTACATCCCTACTCGCCAACGTGTGAGGCTGAAACAGAGAAACCGGACCTAGGCCTATCCCGAGAGCTGATAACGTTGGTGATCTGGGTTTCAGGACGGGCCTGGCCCAGGGGCTTTTGACAGTAGTTGCGTGCGGCCCAGAGCTCATACGGCGACGTGTCGGTTGCGAGCCACTGCTCCACCGTGAACTGCAGCTGCGAGCATGGCGCGTGGACCCCAGCGGAATTGACCTCCACGTAGTTAACGTACCAGCCGTGGTGGGGACCCGAGCCGTCCGAAGTTAGATTGATGGCGCAAACGGGCCGGTCCAAGCAAGGGCCTCTACCGCTGAAGATGTCGAGGTTGCCCCTCTCGAAGTAGTTGTGACCCGGATCCATTAACCCGCCCCAGGCCTCGAGGTTTTTGATGTATAAACCGTAGCCGAGCGCGTCGTAGAGCTTGAGCCCAATTATTGAATCGGTTCCTCCCTTGATGATGGAGCCCGTCCGAATATAAAGCGTGTAAACACAATCGTCCTGCATCAAATTATTATCAATATTTGTTTTCTAGTCAGAGTGACGAAAATTAACAAAAATAAATAAAAAAGATGAAGTAAGTTTGAAAGGCTTACCGATCTAACGGTTGAGACGAAGCATAGCGAGAGTAGAGAGACGAGGAGAGGGAGGAGGCGCGTTGGGGTTGCCATGGGACTGAGATGAAGGTGGAGAAGGAGCAAGTCACGAAGACACTGTATCAGCTCCATCACTTATAACTCATATTTTTCCTTATTATTCATTTTTTCATATTTATTCAAATTCACGAATTTACTTGAGTTTTGTATTTAAAATATATTTTTTCTTCTTTTTAAAATAATTATATTTGTACTTGATGTTTACCAATGAAATATTAATTATTTATACTTCAATTTTTCCAAGTGAATTATATCAAAGTTTGCATTTACAATAGAAAGTGATACTATATTTATTGAGAAAGTTTTGTTAGTTTAATAATATAATGCATATATCTTGTTTTCTTTTTATTTATATGTAAAAATGCGTAATTATTGTGATTGTGAAATGGTAGTATGATAATAAAAATTGACTAAATCATAACTTCTACATGATAAGATAATTTCAGAAATAAAGGTGTAAAGAAAATAAAGTTTTGAAAATTAATGGAGTGTGGGACACGAATTCATTTTCCAATTGAATGGCCTGTCTTCATTGAGAAATCCGTCATACATTTCTCATGATAACAAATCATTCCTCGCTGTCTCAATTTAATGTGATTAAATAAAACTTATGACAACGATTAGATTAACCAAATGAAATCTCCAGAACTTGGGATCAGATGTCAAAATGGGTTAGTAAGTACCGTTTTGTCTCGGCCTATCATTGACCTGTTAAATGCAGCGGGCGGATTCACCCGTTACATAGTGATTATGGGTTATAAATTTTGTTCTGGGTTGATCGGTCATAATTTAAAAAAAAATATATTTTTTAAAAATTATTTTTTTAATAAATTTAATAATACGATTGTGATTTGTTTATAAATAATTCAAAAAAAAAATATATATATATATATATATATATATATATTATTTCAATTTAATAATATAAATTAATATATTGTTTTAAGAAATTATAATTTACAATAATAATAAAATTTACATAATAATAAATAATAACAAATATATATATATAACCTTAAAATTTATAAAATTTATAGTTTTTATATTAAAAAATTCATATATTTATATCTTTTTTATTTGATAAAACTTCACATTATTATTGGTTGAGTAATTCTTACATTTTTAATTTAAGTCATAAGAATAAAAATAATGAGTGCTTAGGATGAAGAATAGGAGAGAAGATTATGTTTCAGTAAGAAAAATATTTTCTGTGATAGTGAAAATTTTTTAATTCTCTTTTTAAAATTTTTAACTTTGTATATTATCTTTATAATTAATTTTATTACAATAAAATATTTTTTTTAATTAGGCGAGCCACGGACTGGCCTGCCCCGTCCCACGGGTTGCCCCAGCGAGTTAGGAGATTTGGCGGAGCGGCCAAGCGATCGGTGGACTGAAAACACTAACCCGTCCCGCCATATTATGGTGGGCTAGCGGGCCAATCCACCGGACCTGACCCGTTTTACCATCCCTACTTGGGAGGAGCATCGTGACCAAAAAGATACAAGAATAAAATATTAGTATTTTTTTTTCTTATGAAAAATAAAATCCTGTAAGCAACTGTAACCTATAAAAATATTAACAAAACTTCTTTAAAATTTAATAATTAGATAACAATTAAATTATATATTAAAACAAAACTCAGATTTTTTATATTAGGGATGGCAAAACGAGTCGACCGCCCGCCTTTGGCCCGCTAAAGCGAGGTGGCCGGCTGACCCGATATAGTCATGATGGGTCGTAGACCTTGGCCTCGCCTCGCCAGAGGCGGGTTAGTGGCTGGCCTGCCATAATTTAGAAAAAATAATTTTTTTTAAATAAATTTTTTAATAAATTTAATAATAAAATTATTATTTGTTTGTCAATAATTCAATATATATATATATATATATATATATATATTATTTCAATTTAATAATATAAATCAATACATTATTTTAAGAAATTATAATTTAGAACAATAATAAAATTTACATTATAATAAATAATAACAAATATATATATATATATATATATATATATATAAATAACGTTAAACTTATAAAATTTATATTTTTTATATTGAAACTTTTAAATACCTATATCTTTTTTATTTGATAAAACTTTATGTTATTCTTAGTTGAGTAATTCTTACACATTTAATTCAAGTAATAAGGATAAAAATAATCGATGCTTAGGATAAACAAGGAGAACATGAGAGAATGTCATGTTTCAGGAAGGAGAATATTTTACTGTGAGAATGAAACTTTTTTAATTCTATTTTTAAAATTTTTAACTTTATATATTATCTTTATAATTAATTTTATTGTAATAAAAAATTATTTTTTTATTAATTAGGCGGGCCGTAGTCGGCCCGCCCTGTCTCGCGGGTTGGTCCGACAGGTTGACGAGCTTGGCGGGCAGGCCAAAGCGGACTGGTGGGTCGAAAACACCAACCCGCCGCACCATATTATGGCGGGTCGCGGACCGACCCGCCGGACCTAGCCCGTTTTGTCATCCTTATATTGATATAGACTGTTTTAGCCTATGCACTATGCAAGATAGATGTTTATAACATAAAATATTTAAAATATAATACATTAATCTTTTAAATATAAAACTATATGTCAATTTTATTAACAATATTTGAAATTGATATATAATTTAATAAATAATAAATAAACTAAATATTTTAGATAGTTAGTAAGTGATAGTTTGTATTTGCAAGAATAATAATAGAAGAAATATACATCATATGGAAGAGAAGAGATTTCTTGTTTCTCCACCTAACAAAATGTAATTTACAAGGAGTAAATATATTTTTTTACATAAAAATAAAAATAAAAATAAAACAAAAACAAAAACAAAAATACAATAATAATAATAATAATAATGATGTGCATTTTGTGTATATTTTATGTTTTAAAAATTAAATAAAAAATCAAAATATATAAAATAAAAGGTAAGAATGATTTGTAATTCTCCAATAAACCATAAACTAAAAATTAATTTACATTATTATATCATCTTGAAGTAATAAAGGTTTGTCAAAATAAAACATATATCATGTTGAGGTTAACATAAAAAGATTTTCAGACCTTCTTAATAATTTTATCATAAAATTTCTTATTTTTCTAAAATCACTTGAGCAACGGTCCATTTTGAAGAAGACATAACGAAGCACAACTTTGGGCCTTGATCAAATGAAGCTGGGCCTTAGTTAGATTAAAGTGGGCCTAGTTTTTTTTTTAGACAGGTTAAGGACAAAAACGGTTCAATTATTATTTCAAAACAAAATTATCCCATCCCATTCAATGCCTGTCAACGAATAGTATTTTAAAATAATTCATGTTTAATGACTTTATTTTACAATTTAAATCATGTTTTGATATTCTCTGATTATTCGAAAGAAATTGAGAGTATTCTTAAAAAAAAATTAGATTAGTTTAAGAATTTTTAGTAGAAAAAATAAAACTTAATCGTGATTAAAAATTTCCAGTCCATTATAATTTTTGTTGTCACAATAATTATTTTTCTATGCATCTAAAATGGTCAAATAAAAAACAGACACTTGTACGTATATATTATTTTCATCCAATCGTTGTCGTTCAATTTAGGAAATAAACTTATAATGTGTCGTTTTAGCGTTCACATAACATCTTCATATATTTAAAGAATGATTAATTCGAAGGCGTAATAAAGTAAAGAACGGTGAAGCAGTTAAATGTAAGTATTACTGTTGAGGCAAAATGCGTGCCAATGAACAGAAATAAATAGTAGTGGTATGAGAGAACCCCCGAAATGCTGTTCCAGAATATCATAGATATTAAACACAGCAGTGATATCATGACACGACATCAACGTTAAATAATTCATGAAGACATAACGTGCCATGCAATAGTTCCCTATCGTATCCTAATTTCTAAACTTTGAGGAATGGGTATAAGCTTATAGCATATTCTTCGTTGATGGTTACCCCGTTGAAAACGTTATAGCAGGTAACAGTAAACTTGGCACAAATTTTCTCAAACCAGGCCATATGGAACTTTGGCCAATCGATTAAACTTTTGCGTGTAATATACAACAAATTACAAGGATTCTCTAAATATATATTTCTATTGTTTACGAGATATGGTTACTGTTCCTTCAACTTTATTGATGATTAATTAAAGGTTAATTTGTTGGATTATATAGCAGCCATTGTGGAAATCTCTTTACATGACTGTTTCAAATTAAATTAATCTTCGTACAACAATTGGTTTTAATATTTAAAGCCCATGCAAGCCCCAGAATTAGTTTAGATATAAGCAGTGGTGTTATGAAAAGAGTGTCTTGTTTGACGAACATTCTATAAACTTGGATAACGTAATTGACCTACTGTTCAAATTGACCATTTTTATTAAGAAGCTATCGGAAAAATTAACATACGCGCATGTCGAAAACTGTTTTGGTTTGTCCAGATCAGAATCATGATACCTAAGTTAACAAAAACTAATGTTTTTGTAGTGATTTAGCAATACAATATTGAGTCACTGACTATCAGGACCATAGCATATGGAGACCCTCTGACCTGGCAAGTTTTGGAACTATCTGAGACGAATAATCCAAGTCTATAATTATAACCATAAAAGGTTATGTCTACTTTCTTAAATTTAGACTTTTGTGTGTTCACTCTCTACAAATCGCTGGCTCATGTTTTGTTTTCTTTATTCCATTTTGTTTATTGTGAGAAATACTTTACACTCTTGACAGATATTCAACATTTCAGATGCTTTCACACTGTTTGTTCTAAATAAAAATGCGCTTGTCAAACAGGACAATCTCGATGTAACTGGAATTGTTCATGGAACTTGATCCGATAACAGTTCAGAGGACCCCAGTGTTTTTTAGTTCCAAAATATTCATCATACTAAATACAAATTCCACAGTAGTTTGCTTTATTTTTATGGCTTCACACATGAGTATATTCTTTTTGAGGCAATATTTTTCAAGTCATGATTGGATGTCAACATAAACATAGTTTTAATAAGAACATACATATGAATTCATGGGATCATCAGATATTCGTCCTTTTCACCAGAGTTAACCTTAATTGGCTTTGTAAATCATCATATTAATTTTTCTTTTTTCTTCATCCGAAAAAGAAGAAAGAAAGGATAAACACTACACGTGAGCTTATGCAACAATCACAGCATATAGTGAAGTGATATGGAAGATAACACCCTGTTATATGCCAAATGGGTGTGGATATTATGCAGTTTTTGGAACTGGTGAGTGAGATATGGTTTTCTTTATCCTATTGTAAGGCAAGTGGGTGTTTATATCCAAGAAAAGAAAGTGGGAAACAAAGTTCTTAGCTTCTGTCGTCTTAAAATATATTTTATGTGCATGTTCACTACAACAACAAAAAAACCCAAAAAATTAGCGAATGGGTAATAGCTATATAGTAATATTTAATAGAATTGATAGGAATACTTTAACCAGTTGATGAGATTCTCATGCTGATAGTTAAATAGTCAAATCAAAGGAAGTTTATTATGATTAAAGGTCCAACCCAAGATCGATGTTTCCTTGGCTTATCTTCAAAAATTCCTGGATAAGGACGAGTCTGGTTAGCTATATGCAAGGACTCAACTGTTATTTCATTTTTTTTTTTTTTTCATATTTAGTCAAGATAAAAGTTTCTACTTTAATCCTTAATTTTAAGTTTAAAAATCAATATGAAAATGTACAAAGTTATATAACAAGTGATTTAAGTTTACAATAACTTCAAGAACTGATACGAAGATTTACATTAAAAAAACTAAAGAGAATAAATAGCTTTCCACAAGGCAAAAAACCGAAAAGGAGTAACATCTTGAAGTTAATTGTTCATTATTGAGGAAGTTTGAGTATTGAACTTTTAAATAAGCGTGCTTTGTTCTGACGAAAGGGGCCTTCAACCTTTCCCCATTGCGCTTGAGCATGCACAGCACAATACCATTGCACATGGTTACTTCCAAAACCTTTTTTCTTTTTTCTCTCAATGTTTAGTGGAAGCAGTCATAGTAACAGGGAACAATGGTTTGTTTCTTTTCTCTCTGATACTCTTTTTGCGTTCATTCGTGTCCGTTTCTGTTATTAGATTAGAACTGTATATCTACTAGTTAGTAACAACATTTGTGTGCTTTGTTCAATATCCATCGTAATAATTAATTAAAAAGGTTCGGCTTTTAGCCAAATTCCCTCACCCACCTGACCCTGAATTTTATCAGTCACATGAAGACACAAGTCACGTTTAAAAATTGTTTGCATAAATGCCTTTTAACTTATATATTTTCCATATGTAATTCATTGAGCCCTGTACTTCTATACCCCTCCCACCTTTAACTATAAAGGTCTAGTATTGTAGCTTTTGTATGTTATTCCTGTTAATATCCCCCAGTGGTGGATCAACACGTATGAGTGGGAAAATAATTTTCTCATTGCACGTGATACTGTACAAGGGAACATCACTGTGTGGTTGTAGTCGATGTTTAACAAGGAGGTTCAGGTAGTGCAGCAGTAGTTGGTATAATTAAAACCAGTTATGATATAACTCATTATAAGAAACTAGGTAGCACCAATGTTGTGTTCCTCATTTTAAGGGATCACATGGAGGCCCATGTGAGCAAGGAATTTAGCAAACACAACCAGTGAAGAACTCAACCAAGCCAATAGTTTATAGCCTTATTAATTACATATTGTTGATTTGTTGGTGTGTGAACGCGTATACACATAGAAGCATGATTTTAAAACAAAATAATTAGATATGTGGGGATAAGAGAGAAAAACGATGGTATTCGCAGCCATTTGTGGGCTCGACCCTCAAAGCGGGGACCGATTCCCGAAAGCAACGAACACACAGAGGTTTTGCGATAAGCGAAAACCAAACACGTGTACTCAACAGGGACCATTGCAAACCAGCTAAGCTTCTGACAACCTCAATGTCAATGCCAGAAACCAATAACTACATGTCATTTCTATTTAAAACAATTACTTCAAATACTAGCAATAAAATTGTTGCCTCAGATACTAAATGGAGTTGGAGTTGATGTTGTATAAGTAGAGTTCAAACTCATATTAACAAAAATTCTTTATTCGTCAATTTATTAACCAATATTCTTATGATATTGGTGCGCAAATCTCAATTTAACTACACATGGATGTTATGCCTTTGGTAAAGGTGTAATATTAGTGGTTATTCTGACTTTTGTTCTAATTCAAGTAAGTGTCAACAGTTCCAATACGAAAGGTCTTAAGAAAAAATATTATTTTGAAAAGCTTATTTAAGTTCATAAAAATAGTTTATGATTAGTGGTTATTCCAATGAAAACAGGACTAATGATTAACGAAATAAGTCCTATAACAATAACACACTTAAAGAAAGAATGGTTCGTGGCGAGTCCTTTTAAACGAATTATTAAAATAAATTTTTAAAATGCATGAGGCCGTGAAAATTCTTAAGAAATATAACTTTTGATTTTCAATATAGAGTAGCATTTTGAGTGTGTCAGAAATTTTATGTGAAGGGGGAGGAGTAGAATTGGTGAAGAAAGGTAGATGTTCCACTTTTCCTAATGGCCAATAATTGAAAGTAACAAAAAACATAGTTTAATTCAGCTAAGACATCAATCATGGAGAGAAATCTAGTGGAGTCCCTCTTTCCACGTCACACACAAGGTGAGGGTTGTGAATAGATGAAGCAATGTTTGAGTCTCTTCTTCAAATATCTATCTATCTTAATGTTATTCTTCCCATCAAACATCTGCTTTTTAGTGGATTCCAACTCTTCTTTCAACCATATCATGTAGATTCCCAACCCAACTTAGAGTTTAACTTTCACTAACCTAACCAAATCATTAACCTTCCTCCTTTTAGTTTCCTTCAAAAAAAATTATTACGTCTTCTTTTTCTTTTGCCAACTTTGCTGTCTGCATAACATACAGAGTCATTACATTATGAGGTAGAATTGTTTTGGCCATGTTTCTTGTTTAACACGAGCACAGCTTTGTGCATGTGTATAATATGTGTGGTCAATTCATGGTTTGTGATTAGTTGAATTGAATCTTAATGATAGTCACAAGAAGGTGTTATTATAATATATGGTGCCAACTCACATTTCTACTTAAACAAAGCAGGCATTTGGTTCTTAAGAAAGTGGTAGACCAAAGTATAATGGAACTATACCAAACCAAACCAAACCTTTCCTTCATGTAAGACTCAGCGTCGGTATCTGTTTCAAATTTCTAAAACGAAGCACCTTTTTCATACATGGGACACCAAGTTTTGTTTCCTAATTTATGGCCATGTGATTTAAAAACTCAATTATCCAGGCAATTGGCTTCTCTAAATAATTCACGAATGCCTATTTCCTCACATTATACAACAGCGAAAGATTGTTGAATTAGAATCAAACCAAGACTTAATTTGGTATAACTACCAAATCCATCCATTCAAACTTTATACACCACTATTTAAATATTCTCTCCCTTGCTTTACAAAATATTGATCTATCTAGCTAGAATCAAACAGCTCATACATTATATAGGAACACTTACATTTTGGTATTCAACTCTGGCACAATACACTAGTGATTATTAGCGTTACTCCCTTGTCTGTTGCTTCTCTGTCTTTCTTTGGTTGGTCTACTGCAGTACATGAATGAATCCTTGATGCTACCTCTAGAGCTAAAAGGAGCATTCAGAAATGTCAGTACTCCATGATAGACTGAAAGACATGAGATTTTTAATCTGTGTAGTGTACGGACAAACATTGATTCAAACGTTCAATAATGACACGGCATAACGTTCTTTGAGCACTAACCCGGCCTAACCCACAACTGCAACTTTTGAGTCAGCTTCAGAAATTTGTAACAAGGTAGTTGACAAGGGGCCATCTTCATCCTTGAGTCTCCAAGTATTCGATCAATAATCATTGATGGTGATGGAATTATCTCCAACTTAAGTGTGTCTTCTTCATCTAGGAAATCTGTTTATCCAACTATTATATTGCATGTTAGTTCTGGTTGATTATGGACGTGTGTCTTAAGACAACATTAAATATCGTGGATGATTAACTGGCTTTGTTTCTGACAAGTTATGAATTGGAACCTATAATGAAGCAAACTAACACTCTAGACTTAATTTAGCTAACATATTACATGGATTTATTTTTCCATATCAGTGACCCAACTTGCTTTGACGGAAGATTAACGTCCATTATTACTACAGGTCTAAGTCTAACCACGACAAAAAATACCCTTGCATAGAAGTAAAACCAATAATTGAGATTGATCGAGAAAGAGATGCATCAATTCAGCCATGCGACCACTTTCTCTTATGTTTTTTGTTTTATTAAAGCAATAGATATGATTGATGTGAAACGACCTCACCCCTTTCACTTCATGTTCCAATGGTGAACACAGACTATCACTTCATAACCGTATTCAAGGTGTCATAATCTAATAATAGCTTGTCATATTCTTTATTCCACGCACTGTTTTTCCTAGTTTCCGAACAAACAAACGGTGTCAACGTTGGTATCCTCATTTTTCTCTCTTTATTTGTTAGGAGCTCGCAAACAAGAAGGTAAAATGATAATTAAGAGTAAGACAAAGAACTTAAACCACGAATGAGAAACTATACTTGATCATACTTTGATAATTGTAACAAGGAAGAAAGAAAATTTAATCCATTCAGACTTGTATCCGAAGGCTAAATTTCTACGTGGCTGGCTAATTACGTGAATAGACATCTTTCAAACTAGAAAGACACTTTTGTCTATCCTTTTCCATACTGTTCTGACCTGAACAAAAAATACAAAACATCCATTCTAAACCAAGCTGCACTTCTATTTTATGGCAGGGTAGGGATGTACATGTCATTTCATCTTCTCATTTACACCCGGGAACGTGCTCGTTGGGACATATGTTTCCACTCCACCAAGCGTTGAAGAAAGCTCATCACCTGCATGAAATGAATACATAAGTAATAATAATCAGTTATATGAAATAAGGCATAGGATAAAATGGTGAAAAATAAAAATATGAAGTAAGAAAATTTCTGATTGCCTCGTCTGGTTCTTGTAAAGAGTAATATGCACTAGTGTCCTTTGGAAATTTGGAGACAAGAATGCCAAAACCCTGTCCTCTGTCTCTCAATTTCTGCTTATTAGAAGAATGGGAAACCAAATTTAGCTTTTTAAGCTATGAGTATTTCAAATAAGATAATTAACGTACACAAACTATTGTTTTTTCACAGGAACTTTTATTATGAAAAAATAATAATTGAGATCTTTGGATACCTTGAAAGCATCTTCATCGGATCGATCATCGCCAATATAAACAGGAAAGACGTCACTACAATTGGCCAAACCTGTGGAAGTGGAAAATTATTTGTGATTGAGATGATGGTGGACAATTTAAAACAAATTTCAATATAAATTAAGAATCTCGAGTGTTAAAACAATACTGAATGAGTAAACTAATCACGTAGGGTATGGAGGTTTTCCTTTATTTATTTGTACGAGTCAAAACTCTGAAGAGTTATCCAACAAGTGAAGAGCACAGACTTGTTGGTAACTTTGAGCCATCATTAATACATGTTTTATAAAATATGTTTAGCGCATGTTCAATTGTGAAACTAAAACGTAGAGTGTGTTAAATTAAAACTCACCAAGGGACTCTAGTAAAAATTCCAGGGCCTTCCCTTTGTCCCATTTAATAGTGGGACGAATCTCTAGCACCTGTGTAAAACAAATGGCTATGAAAGGTGAGACATCTCTGTAATTAACTTGGTAAAAAAATAGATAAAAAAAAGAAAGAAAACATTGACCATGGCCCACCTTTCTTCCTTGGGTAAGTCGGAGCTTCGGGTACTCCTTTAAAACTGATTTCACTTGGCGTGCCAGGTCACTCCATTTCTATGTATAGTACATTTGGTTTAGACTTTTTCATGAACAGAGAAATAGTCCATACAATATTAAAAAAGAAAAGAAATTCGGGAAGGAACAAAAACACTGCAAATAGTTATAGCGAATGTCTGAAACATGGATGGCTTCATAGATTATAGTTTGCACCTTTTCATCAACACAACGAAAATGAACAGAGAGGCAGAACTTGTTGTTCTCAACCATAGCTCCAGGAGTTGATTTTGTCTTCTCAACTAACTGTTGGTACACCTAAAATATTTTGCACCCAACAAAAATTACAAAAGGTAATCATAACATTGTAGAAACCACAACCATTTGGCTATCGAGACGAACCTCATCTATCATGGGAAGAAAATCACTGGCAGGTTGAAAAAGAATTGCCTCAGCTTTGCTATCCTGCAGACCACAACCAATGCAAAATTACGAAATTTCATAAAATTTGAAAATGTTAGGTGTTTGGAATGTATGCACTATAATAAACAAGGTATACGTAAGCTACAGTTAACTACTCACTTTGTTGTATTTGGAGCTTCTTGTTGGCCCTTTAATATCCATGCCATGGCTTCCTGCATAATATAGCTCTGCCAACTGAACAAAATTGTATACCTGTTGTTTCCAAAGGTACCCACATATTAGTTCAAAAAATTAAAGGAAAAGGAAAAGATAGAGGAAGAAGTACATTAGAAGAGCACGAAAATTTACTTTAACCAACTTCCGAATTAATATTGTACCTTGTCTTTGCATCTGCCAGTCACTATGGCAGTAGGAAAACACCTAGCAAGTTTCTTCACTGTTTTTCTCATCTGATACACACGCACAACAAATAGTTTTGTAGATTTAGCAGACAATATGTATAATGAGTCCGAGGTTGGGGAACATTATAAGCAATGATACTGACCGAATGGGACATGAAAGCACGGTCAGGATCTTCAACTATAGGGGACAGTGTGCCATCATAGTCCAGAAACATGACAATTTGTTTTCCCTTTGACGCGTCAACAATTTGGTCAAACATGTCTAATGCCGACGGATGGTGAAGCTGTTTCATAATCATAAAAGATATGTTAATATTAGCAAAGTCAGATCCACTGTAGGAATTTGAACCCGGTAAGAAAAAACGTGTGTTGATTTAAGAGTGGTTCTTACAATCCAGGAGTTATGGTCCTGAGATAAAGAAGGTGTGGATTTAAGATGGGTAGGAGATGAGGCTCTCATGGACTCAACCCATGCATTCACTCTTTGGTCTCCATTAATTTCAAGGTTCTTCAAAACCCTCCTCCTCCTTGAAATGGAAATGTATCCTCCTGGTGCTGGTGGTGGCTTTTTTTGTGCTGGTGTTGGAGAAACTGTTAGGGAAACTCCAGATGTGGTGTCAGGTACTACCACATTCTGCTGCGTCATTTTGACACAATAATCTGTGGGCAAAAACAAACCCAACAATCACTTATATTTTGAAAGGGTATGTATGGTATTGGCAATTGGTTAACTATTAAAACCAAGTTTTATTGGCAGAATGGAGATGAAAGAAGAAAGAGAATAATGGGAAAGGGTTGAAGGAAATTTGAGAAGAAAGAAGAGAAGTTTGAAGAGTGAACAAATGAAAAGAAGTGAGGTGAGGGAGGAGACAGAGTCCGCTGCATTGAATTTATAGTTAAGAAACAACTGCTACAAAACACTTTGGTGGGACCCACGATGAAAGAAACTGGGGTCCACGACTTTTCTCTTTTTATTACTTGTGTGTGTGAGAGAGAGAGAGAGAGAGTGAGCATGTCATTTTACATGTATTTCTCTTTACATCGTATCAACAGGAATACCTATGCATGTCATTTTATACATACATAGAATTCAAAGTTTCTCAGCCAAAAATTTGGTTACAACCAAATGTTTGAATGAACCCGTATACACGTTCTTAGGCAATGAAAAACCAAAAACACTTTCCAAGTTATCTTATTAATTAAGATATAGAATGTAAGTATGTATATTTCAAAATATTTTGAGATTCAAACTGTGAAATAAGTTATTGCTTTTATTTCTCTATATTTTCATAGAAATACATTTTTTTAATATCGAATTATCAACCGCGTTATTTTTATAAATACAAGTATTAGAATATATTAAATGTATACATAAAATTAAAATTAAGTTTTAAAATATTTTAAAAGAATCAAAACATATAATTATACCTGATTTTGGGTATTAATTATATTAAATACAAATATTTTTTTCATCTAATCCCTAATCCATTAATAATATTGTGATAATAATACATATTTAATATATTTAATTATTTAAATAACTATGTTATTATAATAATAATTAATATTAAAAGAAGTGTAAATAATGATCTAATATATCTTAACAATAATAGTTTTATAAATATAAATATTTTTTTACAAGTTATTTAATTGTTTTATTTCCATACTGATTTAAATATAAAAATATATTTTTCTTTTTAACAAAATTTGATATAAGACATGGGCAAACTTATTTATTTTTCTATAAAAAACTATGTTTATTTACTAATTAATTCACAAAATTATCTTTATTTAGACTAAGTTTTGATGATGATCATGATTATTAAAATGCTAATTAAATAACAAATATAAACGAAGAAAATTAAAATAAAATTTCAATTCACTAAAATTAATAAGGTAGAACCTTGTTCTTGCTCCAAATAATCAGCATATTCTAAACTGAAGTTATAATATCTGATCAAATTACTTAGATTTAAAATTGGGTTTTAATTGCTTAATTTAATTAAGTTGTTTAAAGTTAAGTAACATTGTTTAAAAAATTTCTTTCAGGAAAACATAACGTATAGGAACCATATATTGTTTAAGTGAGCTATTTAAATAAATAATATTATTTAAATGATTCCTAGTAACAATAAAAATATTTTTACTCATAAAATTTAATATAATTTAAGTTAAACATTTAACATTTTCAACACTAGTTTGATTTTTTTTTTTTTTTTTTAGATTTGTGTTAGTATAAAATTCACACCTTATATTTTTTAACATTTACAAATATTTTCACCAACTATAAGAAGAAATTGAAATAAATCCACTTCTCAGTTGACCAATAGTTAGTTAATGGTTAATGATTGGAGCTCACACAAGTCTTTCAGAGCTAATATATCCTCATAAGAGGTTTGCAGATAGAAGCATATTGTATGTGTTATAAAGTTCAATTTTATTGTTAAGAAATGGAAGCACAGCAGATGAAGGAATGGTCACAAAACCAAGATATTACACATTTGCGTTGACAGCACAAATGAAGAAGTTGCATGTGCGTTTTAGAAATGGTTTGGTGTTACATTACGTCTACTATCTGGTGTGTGTGTGTATTATACATATGCATGCACTTGCATGAACAAGACAAAAATTCCATCTTCCTTTAAACCAAATAATACTTTATTAGTCATATATAGGCATGCATGCATATATAAAAGGAAAGAACAGTCACTTTTAAAACTTGAACCTCTGTCAAACTATAAAGAAAATCGACAAAATTATTAAAAATAATATATGTTTTTAAATTTTATTCATTTTGTCCTTTTTAATATATTTTTATTAGATATATTTATTGACAAATTGATGTTTTAATCACTTTTTATACAAAATTAAAATTTATTAACCTAATCATTAAATGATGATTTATTTTGATAATATTATTTATTATACTTTAAACTTTCTTATTTTACACTCTTAACTGTATAAGCTTATTTTTGATACAACATTTTATTATTTACTGATAAAAAATATTGAGATGGTAACAGCAAGGAGACACATGCAGTGTCAGCAAAGTTTGTGTTATAAAGAGAACAATGTGAAGATATGTATTAGGGGGGGTCTTCTATATATGTGTGCATCACATTTGATTGAATAAAATAATTTTATTATTAAAATGTTTGCCTGATACAGTGTATTTGTATCAGTTACTACATGCATGCGTGTCACAACCATCAACTTGTGTCAATTTTCTTCGTACCAGAGGAGAAAGAATTTGGACATGATATATCTAAACATTATTGTTTCTCCACGACCTATATATATCATTAGTCAGAATCAATTTATATATAGACTACAAAAATACTTAGCCACAAGTTCTCCTTTTCTCTAACGTAACATCTAGTCATCATTTGATGCTTAATCTCCTTTTTGTCTTCGTATTCATTCATTAATTTTTCTGAATTATTTTTCATTTTTTTTCAAGTGCTTTAATAATTTGAAATATAGATGAAAAACCCTGTAATAATAAAAAGTACAGAACTCTGATAAGCTGGCTCTCGTGGCTAGCATAACCAAAAATTGGAAAGATTATAACAACACTTTTCAATGTTGATGGCTGAAACGTAAGACCCAAGGAAAAGTTGACACAAATGAAAAATAAACATGCATCTCTGATAATAAATCAATTAAAAATAATGATTCATGCGAATAATAGCTCATTTGCATTCATACTTTAGTACGGGAAAACACTTCTGGTTATAACTACCATGAATTGTGATTCTGTATATTTTTTAGGGCAAAATTTCAATTCCTATGATATGCATTCATGCATGTACTAACGTGAGAGACAATAGAATGTAGTAATTTGACATAATTAAGGAATAAAATAAAAGGTGGTTTTGCAACATGAAATATCTTAATATCTTGAAACTGATAATCCTAAAATAATGGTAAGACGAAAAGTTTAGATTACTAATCTTACTGTGCACTTTTTCAAGAGATATGCGAGATAACGGGGATTTTATCCTGATTCCCTTTCATTTAAAGCTGAATTCCTGTACCTTCCATGGATATGATACGAAGATGTTGTTGAGTTAAAACATTCTTTCAGTAATGGCGGAATTAATAATAACTAGATTTTGATCACAAGCACTGAAAGGACATCATGAATGAGGTGCTTTATCTGAAAAAAGCATTAGGGAAAAACGAGGTCCCAATTTTGTCTACACTTAGCGTTGCTAAACGTAAGTTAATGTTTGTGCGCACATTTGGCACATCGACAAAGAGCCATTGGTTTCTTGGTTATGTTTTCTTTTTGCCCACTTCTTTTGATTTAAACTAGGAGAGTGACGAGGATTTTCCCGTTTTTTATGCAAAAAGCTTCAATATGGATGATGTTGGATAAGAGATGAAAAAAATCCCTCACTTTATCTTTGCTTTGGTTTATCACTACACATATCTCAATTTATTTTTAAACCCATTTTTGGAATATTTACCTTCTGAAACAGTTGGGGATGTGACGCCAAGAGACATTTCTTACTAAGCTCCAGGTCGGCATGATGGACTCATACGACCCTAACATTGCTATCGCCATTCAAATAAAAAAATGGATAATATATTATAGCCACCATCAACCATGTATATTATCAAAGACAAAACACACAATTTTAAGATATATACGTTAGATAACGTAATATAACAAAAAGGAGACAAAAACAAGTCTTACTTAAAGAAATTATACCAATTGCAAACACCGGAACCTATAAACTTCAACTAATTAAAATGTATTTTCATATCGCCATTTTTATTATTAAATTTTGCAATTTATATACTAATAAATTATTTAAAATAAAGTTCTTAAAATATATCAATCAAGAGTTCGTTGATGATCATCTTTTTTTCTAAAGTGATTTGAAACTACTTTTTCTTCAACTGACTCTGCAGGATGTAAATCCAACTAGGATGATTACCTATGTAAAGAGGAAAGGTATAAAAAAAGAATACAACTTTTTGAGACGAAATAGAATATTGTATGAACGACCTTTCTAAATACTTGAATCATTCTATTTTATAGATTAAGAGATTAAAAAGTTTAAAAAAATCGATCAGCACTTATGATTTTAAGGATTAACCGTGGGACTTTCTTTTATTGTAATGGGTTTTGTTGGAATAAAAAAATAATAAGAAGTAATTAAAAATTAGTTGAAACATTTTTTATATTAGCGATATATTGGTGGTGTTATTATTTGGTTTTGGAAATATGTTATGATCGTATTCCTCGTTTAAGATAAGATAATTATTTGTTATCATATTTTACACACACGTGGTTATCTCTTGATTTAATTTATTTATGAATAAAATAATGATAGTACTAATCTCATCTCACACGTGGATCTACTTCTGCGTCATTGCAATATTATACTTGTATGGATTTTCTACATGTTTTCTTAATTATATAAGCACGACTAAAAAGTATGGCCATTTACTATTAACCTTTATAATTCATGAATTCAAATATAACCATATATCAAAATTGAGTAATGGTTTGTTCAAAATATTATACGACATTTTTAATTTATAGTTATTATGTTTTAAAAAAATATATGTATATACACAATATAATATTCATTAAATTGAATTCGTTTCAAGCTTTCAACATAGATGTACAAG